AATAAGAAATTGATCCAATATATATGGGAAATTTGTGCATAAGAAGATAAATTTTCTTATTTTTAAATTTAGTATTAATATTTGTTGAAAATCATATGTTTTGTGAATCACCCCGACTAAATAGAGTGTAAAATAAAGGGAGAGAGAGAGAGAGTATGAAAATTATTGAATATTTTCTCTATTTATGTGGAAGAGTACAATGGTGATATTACATTTTTTTTTTTGATTTGGAAGAGATTCGTACTAGGGCATTTCTTGTATTTTACAATTGCGGGCTTATCGTCTGACTGCCTTCTGATTCGATCGGTTAAGATGAACTAACTTTAGGTCGACGAGGTCAGCTCCATCCGCTGAGCATGGTTGGTATGATTCAATCAACTTATTCAACATAGTTGACTATCTTTGATCCCTTTCGTCAGATCCCCCCAAGGGATGGCCAGAGGTACTTTGCGAAATTGGATCTTCCTTTAGACCTGCTATACTCAGGTTTGGCTATCGCATTGGGTCGACATTTTTGTATTGGTTATCTCAGATGACCTTTTGTTTAGTTTCTGACAGGATGGCTCGTGTTTGGATCATCTAGTCATCTTATTGTTCACCTTGTTGCTCCCTCGATTTTGGCTTTGTTGGCTTGGGTTGTATGATTTTGCTCATTCCGCTAGGGGGGTCTTACAATCTCCGGACAGTGGGGCATCCTTCTTCGCACTCTTTCTCTTCTGGATTGTTAGTTCTCTCTAAGACGACTGTGCATACACCTTTTTAATATACATATTTTAGCTCCTCAATTCTCTTTTTGAAAGCATAGCTGCAATAAGAATAAGATAATTTAATACAATTGTTGATCACATTCAATTTTAAAAAATGATTCAATGATTGAACTTCTTTGATTTCAGCATCTTTAAGTCTTATATATAGGATGCAATGAGACTCATTCCCATTCCTGATTTCTCTGTCGTTCCTTGTTTTAGTTGGCCAACTTCCATGTGTTAGTCATTGATGGCCGCAAAATAGCCATGAAGCAGGCGGCAATTTCAAGCAACTACAAGTATCAAAGTAAGATGCGATTTACAAGAGTACCGCGTATCGCTCCCACGAGGAAATGCACTAAGAAACATATTTGAAAAATGCGAAGCGATAATTTATTAACTATTCCAACCTAGTTTCGCGTGATTTAGAAAACAGTAAAAAGAACTCGTAAATCTATCAGAGTTGGCGGAAAAACAAAGAGAAAAGCACGAATAAATTTGCTTTGGAGTTTCTTCAAGATTGTTGTGGATCGTGCCTCTATGATTCGGGTGTAGTACCTGACCAACTTTTCCTGTAATTTCTCTTATGTGGTTGTGCCTATTAGGGATGATATTTTCTTCTTAAGCATAGTGCTATCAAGACAGCTCGTTGTTTGCGAACAGCTCGTATTCGACTCGGTACGAATCTCGTGTTCGACTCGTTCGCTAAGTTAACGAGCCGAACACGAACAACACGAACAAATATTTGTTCGTTCGTGTTCGGCTCGTTTTGGCTCGAAATACTACTAATTATATATATATATTATATTTGATGAGTAGTATTTTTAAAAAATTTAATTGACTACAAGGCTACAAAGATTTATAATCAATTAAAAGTACTAATTAAGAAAATAGAATAAAAATTATTAAATTAGATTCAAATGATGTTTT